CTAAGGTTTTTCCACGAGACAGCAACACCGTTCTCGATTGGCCAGGGGTTTCTGCATGGGTGGGTGGTGCACACCCCGGAGCCGCAGTTGCTGTGGCCGTGTGCGTTCTGTGGGTTGGCGCGCCCCGTGCCCTGCTTTGATTGCTCTCGTGTTATGCGTGGGTCCCCGCTTTTGCGCGTGGTGCCGGGCCCCCCCTCTCTGCCCCAAACAACTTTGAGGTTGGGGGAACGGTTGCGGCGTTGTGGCTTGGGTGGTGGCGGTTTCTCGGGTTTCCCCGCGGCCGCAGCCCTGCCTGGTACCTTGCTCTCGGTGACTGGCCCCAAGCTCTAAGTCTGATTTTATGTAAATCATACGCAAAGCAAAGAGGTCGGTTGGGCGGCGGGCTGTGTGTCATCACGGGATTTGTGTCCAACACAAAGCTGAGTCAGCTGGTTTGCCCCAGCTGATTGCAATGCAATGTTTACCCTTGCTGAAGTTCACTGTTGAGATTATTGCACACCTGCCCGCCTTTGAAATTGCTTTGTCAATCAAGATGCTTTAAGCAAAGCAATCTGTTGAAGCCGCCAGACAGTATACGTCCGCCGCCAAATCTGCATATTTTAAGCAACGATTGCAAAGCCATACAGTCTTCCCCCGCTACAGCGAACCCCGCCATAGCGAAAACCCTGCCTACAGCGAACGCCGCCGCTACCCCCAATAACAGCAGCTGCCCAATTTCACTTTTCGCGATAGCGAACAAGCCGGCTATAGCAAACGCGCCGCCGACCCCCGATGGGTTCACTGTAGCGGGGGAAGACTGTACTTTGCAGGCGTTACCCGTTTCCACATCAAAGTTTAGCAGTCAAAGTCTGAAAGCCCTTGCGCACGGCCACGGACCAATGCGTGATGCGCCACATGCATCACTGGTGACAGGCCTTGCCTTCCTCATCAGACCTGACGTTATTTTGGTCGTGCGGCGCGTGTTGCATCAATTGCCAATCCCCACCCGACTCCTGAGCACTTTACTCGTCCTTGATGTCGAGGGGCTGCGCCGCAATGCCGCTGCCGAGAGCCGCCATCTGGACACCCTCCGGCTCCTGCTTGCGGCGCACCAGCCCTGCTGATGACGTGTGCTGGTGGTGCGCCGCAACGCTGCCTGTTCCTGCGCCGGCCTGGCCGCCCTGCCGCCGCTGCAAAGGGACGGCAGCTGCAGGTTGCTGCTGCTCGCCTGCGGCGGCGCGGTCCTGCAGCATGTTGGCGCCCTCCCCAATCAGCGTGGCGCTCGTGCTGACAGCTCGCTGGGATACCTGGGGGTGCAGCCGCAAGACAAAAACAGATCAAGTGGGCGAGAAGAGCATCGGCATAGGGCGCGTGCGTGTGGCTTTCAAGAAGCACGGCCTGAGCGGCTGGTGCCAAAGCAAAGTGTTGAAGTTTGTCCCTGCCTCCATTCAGCAGGCCCGCCTGCTCATGCCCACTGGGGATCCTGCGTCCCCCTCCTCCAGTGGTGTGTGCGGCGGATCACCGCCGCATGCCTGCCACCCGCTCTGCCCACTTGCACCCCGCATGCACAGCCCACCGTGCGCAGCGCGTCTCCGAGGTTGGTCCAGATCGCCAGGGCGCCCGCGATCCACCCCTGCTGCATGCGCGCGTCCACGTCCAGCTCAGAGTAGAGCATCCAGCCAAAGGTGAACAGCAGGAACCCCAACACCAGGTATATGGGGTTCCACACCACGGCTATGAACTCGTTCCAGCCGAGCAGCATGATGGCAAACATGGCCCACACGGGGGGCGCGCGCTTGCCAGCCGCCAGGTTGGCCTGCTGCGTGATCTTGGCCTGGAAGGGAACAGGGAGTGCAGTTGTGCGTGAATGCGTGCTTGTGTGTGTATGTGTGTGTGTGTGTGTGTGTGTGTGTGTGTGTGCGCGCGCGCGCGCACGCAGACGCGCACGTGCATGTGCAGAACGACCAAAATCATACACCTGATGTTACTCGCGTATTGTGCGGTGCATGACCCCCAACCAGCATCACCATCAATACCCAGCTGCAATCAGCCTGCCAGCCCCTCCGGGCTCCCCTCACGCACCCCGAGAAGCGCTGAGCAAACCAATCGCCGCCCTCACCTGCTGCACCGCCAAGGTGGACGCGCTCATGAACTCGCGCCACGCCGACCGGGCCTCAGCCGGCGCAATCAACACATCCTCGCGCCGCAACGCCCCCGGCCACTCGCTCGCGGACGCGATGTCGTAGCCGGCCCCCGCGCCGCTAGCGCCGCCGTCCGCCGGCTCGCTGGCTGCGGCAGGGGCCGCGTCGATGTCAGGCGCCGCCATGGCGAGGACGGCGCGCTCCACCTCGTCGGAGCCGGCGTAGTCAGGGCCGCGCGCGACGCAGAGGGCGGCCAGCGTGGAGGCAGCGGCGCGACGGGCAACACGCGAGAGAGCGTCGATGTTGTCGCGAGGCATCCAGGTGCTGTTGGAGGAGAGCGGCGTGTCAGGTGTTTGTGGGTTTGTGTGCACGCGTGGGTGCGTGTGTGGGGGCGGCGCGTGCACGTGGTGTGAGTGTGTGAATGTGTGTACGTGTGTATGTGAGTGAATGTGTGCAGGGGGGGCGCGTGCATGTGGTGTGTGTGCGAGTGCAAGTGTGCATGGTGTGTGTGTGTGTGTGTGTTTGTGTGTGTGTGCGCGCACGCGCGCGCGTGATCACATGGGAGCGTGCGCGCGCGCGCGCAAGAGAGAGAGAGAGAGAGAGAGAGAGAGAGAGAGAGAGAGAGAGAGAGAGTGTGTGTGTGTGTGTTG